GGGGGGGTCAATGTCTTATTGGAATTGACAATAATATGGAAGCACCAACTGTTGAATAACATGACCTGCGCTGAAAGACAGGGGTCACTTATTGGCAAACACAGGGGTCTCTCCTCGAGATATGCTCACTGTCGCTAACGTTATGAGGGTTGAACATGTTGGTGGTAATTGGGTTGTCAGTTTGAGAAGGAAAACGACGATACTATAATACATTATATGAAATTAACAGAAAAGAAAAAAAATGTTTATGATTGTTATGAAATGGAGGAACGCACTTTTAGTCCCACACCTGTTCCATTACTCTATTCTCGAGTGTGGTCTGGTGAAGGGATAATACCTTGTTACGGAGTAGCTTTGTAATATTTATAATATCTCAATAAAGTTCATTAATTTAGCCCATGGACCCAGGACAAAAGTTTTTGACGGTGTTCAGTTTTCTACTTTCCTTTGTTTTAATTCATTTTACTTCCCTCTTTTACTGCTTTCCCCATATTTTCCTTTTTTAAACTATGTTTCTTCATGTCTTTCAACGAAACGTTTTTCTCTCTTTTTTTTAAGCAAAAAGTTCTTAATTTTTTCCTGTTGCAAGTTCCTGGGTCGTTTCTTTTTAAAGTTTATTATTTACTCCTTCTCCTAACTTTCTTTCTATCTTCTTCCCGACTGTTCCTTAAATAAGTGTTCTTCTGTAAAGAGGTTATAATAGTCATATTATAGTTCTATTTATATCCTCTTTGATTCTTCTGTCTTTATTCTTTTGTATTTCATTCATAAAGCAGTTCCTTGACTTATTTTCTTCTCTATTCTATAGTTCCTTGTTTCATAGTTCTGTATTTCTCCCTTCTCTTATAGTTCGTTATTTCGTCGACCTAATTCCAGTCTGCTGGTGAGCGAGCTGCTGATAGACCGGAGTCGAGCCTCAGACACGGGTACCTACATCTGTCGGTCGGCGCAGGGATACATCGCTAATCACAAGGTCACCGTGCTTTTTGGTGAGTGCTAGATCTAGCTCCGCTTCTTTTTTCGCTGCACTTTTTCAAAAACCACCATTAAGCGTTGAAAAGGACATTCGTTTTCGGAAGTGGCCAATATGGTTCATGCGATTATCTTCTTCTCCGGACGGGAGATATTTGTTTGTGGGCGGGTTTTTTTCCGGTCATCAAGTTGATTTCGCTGAGATGCTTATTCGATTTGCCCCGATAGAAACACCAAGATGGGGGGG